TTTCACTTATATGAAATTTATGTCTTACAGCTTTTATTTTTAGGCTCTGCTGTGCAATAATAGCTTTTATTTTCAATCCGTCATACTACAGTATTGCCGAAGACATTTTATGTAGCAATTAAGAGTTTTCCAGGTAGCATTGCATTGGGATGCAAGCTCTAGAAAAGTTGCTAAAAAGTGGCTTAACTAATTAGGGTTTTATTTGTCTAATAAGGTTTAGAGTGGGCTGCACAAGACTCGTGTGGCAGCTGTTAGATGTCATCAAGAACCCAGGTTCCTGTCATTCTGCTTGACCACTGCCATTCTTGCATATGGTGTTGGTTTTCACAATTGCCAAATGCTTTCTGCACCTCCGGGCACCACGGGTGCATTTCTGCAAGAGAGAAGGGAGAAGAGTGACCAAGTGCAAAATGGGCTTTGTCTTTTCATTCATTAGGTGGAGCCTTCCCAAGGAGCAGACGCCTCACATCTCACTGGCCAGCACTGTGTTCTATGATCACCCGTAGCTGCAGAGGAGCTGGCTCAACAAGTTTTTATAGCTGAGCACATTGCTTTCTAAAACCAAATCAGGCTTCGGTTATTAAGAAAGAAAGGGAGATGGGCTACTGGATAAATAGCGTTATCTGCTATGACTTCTAAGTGTGTTTGAAGAAAAAAAAAACAGTCACGTGAGTTACAGGTACTGTCACCCATGGCTAAATTGACATGGGTGAAGGCCTTGACTGTCACCCCAGAATTTACTTCTCTTCCACAAATTTCTCTCCCCAAACTTCTTTTGATATTGATTGCAAGGTGTGTTTTGTTTCAGAAGGGTTGAAACGTAAATAAAACTCTTTGTGTCAAGGAAGTGACGGTATATGTTATTGTTATCTGAACCCTGGGTTTATGCCGGCCTGTGCAGTGCCCTTGATGGCTTCCTCTTGCCATGAGGGAAGCCCTTCCGTTACCTACGACCCTGGCTTCTCCCAGGTCCCACCTCCTGGGCTGGTCTGTCCCTGCCGCTCATCCCTGGGCTTCCACAGTTCCAGCCTCGGTCACCTGGGAAATCTCAAAACAGCCCTGCTGCCATGACTCATCTTCCTTCCTGAGGCTAATGTCACAAACATCCCCTTGAAACTTCCTTCTCTGGAGCACAATTTCTCCCCTTTGTTTATTTGGGTGACCTGCTATCGTATTAATTTTCTGTGGCCTTAGCTCTTTTTTTTTTTAATTTTAAAAAATTTTGAACATGTGCTAAATTTATTTATAAACTTCAACAAAAGCAAAGCAAAATACGATAATTTGATTCACCTTGTCTCAAAAAAGTGAACTTTTCCCTGACACTGCATTCTGAAAGATTTTTTTTTAATGTGATTTCAAATAACAAATTCAACAATAATAATTAAGACGTTATACAGCACTGTTATGTGCCAGGCAATAAATATTGTAAGCTACACATAATTTATCTATAACCCTCACAATAATCCAATAAAGCAGGTAATACTATTATTCCCATTTTAAAGATGGAAAAACTGAGGCATAGAGAGATTAAGTAGCTTGCTCAAACTCACCCAGTAAATAGGTGGGGGAACAAGGATTTGTAGCTCTTTTTTTTTTTTCTTTTTAATCATCTGGCCTTTCTTCTAAGTGTAAGGAGTCAGGGAGGCCAGCAAGTGACGAAACGCTCCAAGTCCAGCTTCATATCCTGCTGATTTATACGAAATGCCCCTGGTCTCTATGGCCATGGACTACTGCCCCCCTCCAGGTTGTTTTCTATGGGAGGCTTTCTTTCTCTCTTAAATTTCTTCTCTTTAATCTTTTGAATGTTGACACATTCACACTTTTCCAAAAGGTTTACAAATATAGAGTGAAAACTCTTGCTGTCACTTTGTCCCCATCCTCCAGTTCCCACTCACTCCCCAGGCAACCGCTTTTGTTAATTTCTTATATAAACCTTCAAGCATTTTTCTAAAAAATGAAAATACAAGTAAATACAAAAGTGTTCCTATTTTTCTCCTTTTTTTTTTTTTTTTAATGTGCCTAGCCTACACACAGTTCTGCTTTTTTTTTTTCCATGTATACATCTTGGAGACCTTTCCATAGCAGTGTTAACAGTACTTACAGAATTTCTCCTTTTTTCTTTTTAAGCTGCATAATATTAAAGTGATCTCTCTGAAACACAAAGCTGGTCATGCCTCTCCTGCTTTCCTCTTAAAATACAGATATAATTACTCACATTTCACTCCTCACGCTACCATCAGCCATCACCAGTGTCAGTGAGGAACTGTCCTTTGCTTCCTGAGCGTTGATAGGGTATAATGATGCATTTGAATTTTTTTCTTAAAACAGCGACCATTTTTTCCCAGTTTTATTAAGATATAATTGACATACAACACTTGTATAAGTTTAAGGTGTACAGCATAATGATTTGATGTATGTATATATTGTGAATTGATTATCACAATTAGTTTATTAACATCCATCACCTCACGTCATTTGAATTTTAATATTCTACGATGTAACTTTCAAATATTGGCTATAAGGAGGAGGGGTGTTGAGACATGGACACTCTTAGACTAATGGTAATGTAAATTGAGGTGGCCTTGATGAAAGACAGTTTTACCCTGAGTCCTTCAGGAGTCTGAGAAATAGCTCTGCCCTTTCACCTGGGTTTCATTCACAGGGCTTTGTCCTAAAGTGGTCTTGAGCGATACCATCAAAGATATATAAAGATGGCATTATTTCTAGTGGTGAAACCTACAAGCATGCCAAGTATTCAACAATAGAGTAATAGTTAACTGTGCATCTACATGGTGGAATTGCCAGGAAGATATTAAAATTCATACTTCTGAAAACTTTTCAATGACAGAGGGCAGTGGTCATGATACATTTATTGTTCAGTGAAAGGGTCAAGGTGCAGTTTTTTTACCCGGTGTGATTGTGTGAAAGGAAAGACCAGGTGAGCTGTAGGGGATTATAGTCGAGCAATAAATACCCTGTGTGTGTGTGTGTGTGTGTATGTGTGTCCCTGTGTGTTTATGGCCAGGAGGTGGGGGGAGTGAAGAAGCTGTGTGCATGTCTTGATTCATCCTCATATCGAGCCTTTAAGTACCCACATTTTGGAGTCGTGGTGGACGTTATATGTCTGTACATTATATATGGAAAACCAAGGTTTGACTATGGATAAGTCCCATTTTTGATCATGCTCACGAACAGTTGAAATGTGCTGGGTATGTAGAGCTCCAAATACGGACATTAAATCCAGACCCTTTCCTCTATTTAAATTTTGGCAGTGGCCGTCTGGATAGTAGGATTGTAGGTAACTTTTTGTTTGCTTTACGAAGGCCAGTGGGGACCCACTAAAGAAGGATTTTAGGGGGCTTCCCTGGTGGCGCAGTGGTTGAGAGTCCGCCTGCCGATGCAGGGGACATGGGTTCGTGCCCCGGTCCGGGAAGATGCCACACGCCGTGGAGTGGCTGGGCCCGTGAGCCATGGCCGCTGAGCCTGCGCGTCCGGAGCCTGTGCTCCGCAACGGGAGAGGCCACAACAGTGAGAGGCCCGCGTACCGCAAAAAAAAAAAAAAGAAGAAGAAGAAGAAGGATTTTAGGACAGTGACATGATTGTCTTGATAAGAACACACACTAGGACTTGGATCAAAATAGGTGAACGCTTTCAACCTCAGGGTCGATAAACTCTACCTGGTAGAGTTGTAAGGGGAAGTTAAGTAGGATGGATGATACTTTTTTGCATACCGAAGTTACAAAATAATATATGTTCTGAAATTCTATGAGTGAGGAGAAAAAGTTAACTTTTTCAGACATGAGAAGTGGCTTAGTTCAAGAAATGGAGATAATATCATTTTCAACTTGGATTTACAACCATACAGTAATTCTCTCCTTTTATAATATTATTGCGCTTAAAAGGTGTCCTTTCTTGCCAGCCTTTTATTTCCGTCCATACTAACTATGACATTGCATCATTAGTCATTCATAGACTTGAACCCAGTGATCAGAGACACATGTCACTGAGGCTTTTGGGGAGCAGTCGGATTGAGGTGGGGTGGAGGAGATTGGTTGGGACAATCAGTCCGTGAAAGTTTGTTCTTCAGCATTTTATTTTCTTTGTCCAGAGGTCTTTCTAGCTGCTTCACTTCTCAAAATGATTCTTTTCTTTGGCCATTATAACATTTACTTCACCACTTAAGCTTGTTGTTTTTGCCGATTTCCCAGGATCGTTCAGAAAAAGTACACTTGTTTTCTCAGGTTTTACATGCTGTGGTTAAGATACCTGAATCTTGTCACCGCATCTCAATGAGTTCATACGTACCTTCAGTTAAGAAGATTGGTAACATCTGGAAAACCTGCAGATGTGTTTGCAGCTCTTCAAGAGCATACCTGACCCCTAGTGACTGGAGAAGGAAAGATGAAACATCAGGGGAACAAGAAGGGTTAAGAAAGAGAGTTCAAAGTAGGATGGTGCTTGTTGTTTACTCTCCCCTTGGAAGTGGAGAACGTTTTACTCTTGTGAATTGATGAAAGGATGCTCTCATGACAGTGGCTACAGCTGCGGCATATCTGAAAGAGGCTGCTGAGGGGAATAAAACTGTTGCCGCTCCCAGGAATCAATGAAATGTCGACATCTCAGATGGGCTCTCTGTGGTTTTCAATTGGTTGGGGACAGACAGGGCTTTCGTGACTGTAAATGTCAACTGCTGGGGCTGGGAGTGGGTAGTTATGGCCCCCTGAGAACTAAGTGAATCTCCCACCTCAGACCTCGTCTGTCCCTCCCAGACCGGCGGAGTTGTGCCCCAGAATTCTTGGAGAAACCACTGTGTCAGTACTTGCTGAGACGTCTGCTGGATCACCAGGGAGTGGACAGTGTGTGCTGTCTGCAAAAATTACCTCTTTTTTTTTAGCTCAGTGGCCTCTGACGATGAACACTCAAATCTAGTTCAAATTGGAAATATTTCCACTAGGTTTTGGAGGAGCATTTCTCCTTATGTGTTTGTCTTCTCTCTGCAGATAAAGAAGAAGCAGCAGGATGTGGTTAGATTTCTGGAAGCCAACAAGATAGAGTTTGAGGAGGTGGACATCACGATGTCGGAAGAGCAGAGGCAGTGGATGTACAAGAACATCCCCCTGGAGAAGAAGCCTGCCCAGGGCAACCCTCTGCCACCTCAGATATTTAATGGTAACCGATACTGTGGAGTAAGTATCAAATGATTGTTATCACATCATTTCTTTGTCCGATTCAGAACAGAGTCATCTGGGGCTTCCCTGGTGGCGCAGTGGTTGAGAGTCCGCCTGCCGATGCGGGGGACGCAGGTTCGTGCCCCGGTCCGGGAAGATTCCACATGCCGCGGAGCGGCTGGGCCCGTGAGCCATGGCCGCTGAGCCTGCGCGTCCGGAGCCTGTGCTCCGCAACGGGAGAGGCCACAGCAGTGAGAGGCCCGCGTACCGAAAAAAAAAAACAAAAAAAAAAAAAAACCAGAGTCATCTGGAGTGCAGTTGGGTTTTTTTCAATGCAGACTGACTAGTACCTAGTCAGTTCCACAGGTCTAACAGAGGGTGAATTCGAGAGGGTGTATGAGTCCAAGGTCACAGACTGTGCCTTCCTGTTTGCTTTGGGAAAAGGGGGTGGGAAGGGAAGCTGCGTACCTGTGTGTTTACTGTGTTCTACATTTTAAAGCGTATTTTTTTACTAATACATTTTGGGGGGCAGAGGGGAAGCGGTAATTATTCTTGAATCTTTATCTCTCTGTAGTGTAAAAAAACTGCTAATGGCTGATTATAAACCAGAGTTTCACTTTTTTATGATCATGAGCCAGCTGGATCGTTATGAACAACTAAAATACATCAGATGCCTTCCTGCTGCAGGTGGCATTGAGAAGATGAAGCCACTTTCGACTAATTATTTTCCTTCTCACTTCTTAGGTTCAGAAAAAACATTGAGAAATGTTTCTCTAATGAGTAGTTAGGATTTGCTTTCTGCTGTAGCTTTAAGTATGTAAGTCAGTGTTTATTTTGAGACCTGAACTGCAGTCCTTTAAGGATGGCCAGAAGCAGGGGAAGGAGCTACAGTGCAGAGATGCTCAAGGTGAAATAAATAACTGGGTGCTCGTTAGGGTGGAGAAAAGGGATAACAGTGAAACAGATCTCCAAGAACATGAGGCAGAATGAAATGCTGAAACATAAAGCCATAAAGATTGTGCCCAGCGTTTTTACATGTCATGAAGAGAAAACCGAACCTGGCACTAGACACAGGTTTGAGTTCTAGTACTACTTTATGTTGGCTTGACACCTTTGGAAAGTCACATATCTCTTTATATCTCAATGTTCTCATCTTTAGCAAAGGACGATAATATCCATCTCACTTCCCCGGATATTTGTCACTGTTTCTAAAGTACTCCTAAAACTCTATACCCACCCAAACTACCATTCAACTGTAAGACCAGAATAAAGGCATTTTCACAGCCGCCAAGTCTGAGGAACAGAGAACCAATGGGTTTTTGTTTTAAGTTTTCTAGCACTGTTTGACTGATAGCTTTATTTTGAACTGTACAGTTTACACACATTTTCATCTATCATCTTATTTTGGTCTGCAGGCACAAAAGTACATTTTCTAGACTCTGTAATCATGAATGGAATACACTCTTGGTAACCATATACTTTCCCTAATATGAGATCATGATGTAAAAAAATTCCACAAAAATAATAACCTTTATTATATAATAATGCAGCTTATTTCTTGTTGACGCTGCCTCTGCAGACACTGAGGTTTGACCATCCTCTGCTCTTGACTTCCCTCTCCATTGCTCTACCCACTTCCTGCATACATGGTTCAGGGCTGTTGACATCTCCTAAGTTCATTTTAAAAGTGGAGTTGTTGCTGTTTTTTTTTTAGTCCTTGTTGTTTGATAGACCTCTCAAGAGGGCGGACGCAGAGACATCTTTGCTCTATCACCATAAAAGCCGAAGTCTTCAGAGCCCTTTGAGTAGAAGAATGTATTCAATGAATAAAAAAGAACGTGATGTGAAATAAAGTTAATTCCTTCCCTTTATTTCCACCTCTTTATGACTTTCTGAATCTCTGTGTATCTTTGCCTTATAGAGTCTATGGAAGTTTTTTCAGGTAGACTGGGAGCTGGCCAGAGGCGTCCATATTGATTAAACTGTGCCAGATAAATGGCTGCTTGAGCAGTGTCAGTCCCATGGCAGTTGTGACAGCAGTGCTGGTGTATTCATTCTGTCTTTATAGTCTGTTCTGGCAGGAGTTTTGAAGACAGTGTCTGCTCTTATCAAGGTCAAATAAATTCGATTTTGACAAAAGCAAAAACATTTGAGGGCAATGAACCATGGCCTCGTGCATCCCACCTGCTTCTGTGCACCTTGCATTGCCCGGCAGTGGTTTATGAGTGGTCGTATCTGGTTGGATAACCTGTGGAAACCTGCCATATTGCAAGTGGCAGGATCCAGTAAGCATGAAGATTCTCCTGTTTCCTGGAATTGGCCGGAAACTTATTACTTTGTTTTAAACTGGATGAGCTAGGCATGTGAGACATACACAGCTGCTAAGCTGCTTGCTAACCAGTGTGGACAACTGCCTTCTCTCTCTCCTTTAGCACATGAAAAGCCTGCCTATTGGGAGGAATTCCCCACCGAATGGAAGCTCCCTGGCGTGTCCAATCAGTTCTTCCCACCCCAGATTTGGACACTGAGGAAATGATGCCGAAACACAGCATCAGTTGGAGGTGGCTCAGTGAGTGTCCAGGGGTGATGGGGCCAGGCAGAGCCTGGTGGCTGGACACCGTATGGCTGGTGTCCTAAGGAGGCTGATCCTGGGTTGTGGCCTAGGTGTGTTCTTGGTCCCCCAGACATGGAAGTTCCTCCTGTTTTCTGAACTGGTCCTCCAGGCTTAACGTGGATTCTGTGAGCTCCCCGCTATACATTCTTTTCCTTTTAAGTTGCCAGTGTCTGTTTCAGTTGTTTGTAGGCAAGAACCCTTCTTGGGGCAGACTGGTTGTTCTTGCTGTTTCCCTGAAGCATCCTACCATAAGCACAATTCTTCTCTGGAAACGGGTTTCTAAAGGTCAACATCCCAACGCCTACAGGCTTTTCTCATTTTAGAAAGCTCAGATCCTCACGTTCAAGGTTGAAACTCTGTTCTCTCTCTCTGTGGAACTGGCATGTGTGGAATGCACTAGAAATAAAAACACACATATCTACACAAAAGGAAAACATTTCCTCCCATTTCTTTTCTCCCTCCCCATTCAGAAGAAAAAAAAAATTGGATTTCTTTATATTTTTTCTTATTTTTTCTTGAAATTTTTTTATTGTGGTAAAAACATACATCATAAAATGTATCATCTTAACCACTATTAAGTGTACGGTTGAGTAATGTTAAGTGTGTTCGCATTGCTGTAAAACAGGCCCCCAGAACTTTTTCACCTTGCAGAGCTGAGACTCTATACCCATTAAATAACTCCTGTTTGTCCCCTCCCCCCACCCCACTCCCCCGATAACCATCGTTCTACTTTCTATGTCTATGAATTTGACTACTTTAGAGACTTCATAAAAGTGAAATCACGTAGTATTTGTCCTTTGTTTTCTTTGTTTTGTTTTTGTTTTTTGGCCACACTGTGAGGCGTTCAGGATCTCAGTTCCCCAACCAGGGATCGAACCCATGCCCCCTGCAGTGGAAGCGCAGAGTCTTAACCACTGGACCGCCAGGGAAGTCCCAGTATTTGTCCTTTGTGCCTGTCTTACTTCTCTTGGCATCATGCCCTCAAGGTGCATCCATCTGGTATGTCTTAGTCCGTTCAGGCTGCTATAACAAAATACCACAGACCGGGTAACTTACCAACAATAGAAATTTATTTCTCAGAGTTAAGTCCAAGATCAGGGTTACACTAGGGTTGGGTTCTGGTGAAGGCTCTCTTCTAGGTTGCAGATTGCCCACTTCCTGTAGTATCTTCACGTGGTAAAGGGGGCAGGGGAGCTCTCTCAGTCCTCTTTTTCTTTTTGGCTGCGGTGGGTCTTCATTGCTGTGTGCGGGGTTTCTCTAGTTGCAGCGAGCAGGGGCTACTCTTCGTTGTGGTGCACGGGCTTCTTGCGCGGGCTTCTCTTGTTGCCGAGCACGGGCTCTAGGCACGCAGGCTTCAGTAGTTGTGGCTTGCGGGCCCTAGAGCACAGGCTCAGTAGTTGTGGCGCACTGGCTTAGTTGCTTCACAGCATGTGGGATCTTCCCGGACCAGGGATCGAACCTATGTCCCCTGCATTGGCAGGTGGATTCTTAATCACTGCGCCACCAGAGGAGTCCCAGACCTGTTTTATAAAAGGCATTAATCTCATCCATGAGGGCTCTGCTGTCATGACCTACTCCCCTCCCAAAGGTCTTTGGGCATCAGCATTTCAATGTATGAATTTTGGGGGGATACAAACACCTAGCCTATAGCATTGAAGCATGTGACAAGATTTCCTTCCTTTTTAAGATCTCCATCGTATATATATATCACATTTTGTTTTTCCACTCATGCATTGATGGACTCTGGGTTGCTTCTACCCCTTGGCTATTATGACTAGTGCTGCTATGAACATGAGTTTGCAAATACCTCTTCAAGATCCTGTTTTCAATTCTTGGGGATATGTACATATTAGTGGGATTGCTGCATCATATGGTAGTTCTACTGTTAATTTTTTGAGGAACTGCTGTACTGTTTTCCATAGCGGTTACACCATTTTATAAACCCATCAGTAGTGTACAAGAGTTCTAACTTCTCCACATCCCTGCCAACACTTGTTATTTTCTGTTTTTGTTTTGTTTTGAGAGTAGCCATGCTAATGGGCGTGAGGTGATATCTCACTGTGGCTTTGATTTGCATTTCTTTGATGATTAGTGTTGTTGAGCTTGTATATAATCTTTGGAGAAATGTCTGTTCAAGTCCTTTGCCCAGTTTTCAATTGGGTTATTTGGCTTTTTGCTGTTGAGTTGTAAGAGTTCTTTGTATATTCTGAATACTAACCGCTTATCAGATATGTATTTTGCAGGTATTTTCTCCCATTCTTAGGTTGAGTTTCACTCTGTTGATTATATCTTTTGATGAACAAGAGTTTTTAAGTTTAATGTAGTCCCATTTGTCTGTCTTTGTTTTTGTTGCCTGTGCTTTTGAAGTCATATCCAGGAAATCATTACTTGCCAAATACAGTGT